CTCAACTGCATCATTAGACATTGAGCCTCCGCAAACTACAGAAGTTCAATATCCGTCCATCGCTCAAGCCGCTTTGCTTGGCAGTCTTTACGTGAGACCGATTGATGCCCAAGACACTAGAGTCAACCACAACGAAACTATAAATGACAAACTGCTGGCAACAAACTCGTCGAAATCAAGGTTAGTCGAATGCTCAAAACCCCAACAGGCAAAAGACAATGTTGACGGCAAGGAGAACGGAGCTAGAAGGGACAAAGCGGAACCAACTAATGACAGAGGTGACGAGACCCCTCCCACTCTGGTACCTCCAGATTCGAATCCTGCCCTCTGGGAGCCCTACAAGACCATGCTTCAAGTAGGGCAGTATAGTCTAGAGAAGTTCACACTTGTATAAAAAGAGAAATGCGATTTTTATGGACAAAACAGATGAATTAATCTTCCTAATGAGTTGAGAAAAGCTCCTACAGAATATAAGCCAAAATCTCTACTAATCAGTGAAACAGGGTGGCAATATTTTGAACCCTCTTATTCTTCGTATGCAAGCATGTCTCAAAGGAGGCAATCTCAGATTTAACTTCATCTAATCAAGCTACATGAATTTTATCACCTCATGTCTAGTCTAAGCATGAATATATGCTTGCATTAAAACATTTTGCCATTTCTTCTCAATTACCAACGAAAGATGCAACCTAACTTTTTCCAATTTCCTTTGATTGCTTCAGCCCTCAGTCTCCCTCTGTGTTTTTAAATGCTCCGTTCGGCGTTGGCGCCTTCTTGGAAACGCCCTCCCCGGAGGCATTCCATCATATACTTGTAAATATTATTTGCAAATGAAAATCAAATATTACTTCGCCTGTATTGAACTCCCTTGATAGTTTTTATGTACATTTTCAGGAAACTTGTAAATTAGTAGAAACTGCCTCATATTTATGTAATCTAGGGTGAGGCAATACGCAGCCCTGTGTAAATTCAAACAATTATGTTTTACTTTACTAAGAGATACAAGCGAACAGTTTTGTCGATCCACCCAATTGCTTGCATGCGAAAATTCCCGTTCTCATGCGTTTGTGCGACCTTATGTGTGTGTGTGTGTGTGAGAGAGAGAGAGAGAGGGAAAAAGAGAGGAAAAGGATAAGAGATGGATCCCAACATAGGCTTAGTTTCACCACTCAGTTTCTATTGAAATCCATTTCCGAACGGACGGATGCCTTTTAATAATTACAAGATAAAAAATCTCAACGAGAAACTAATAATTTCATTGAATATGTGGTTATTGCAAAAGATGAGTCGGTTAATTGACTTTGAACTTCCCACGGCATAAAGTAAACAATTAACTGGGCCACAGGCCAAGCAAGTAAGTAGCATCTATGGCAAATGTTAGATCCGAAAATAGTCAAGTATCTTGGCTCATAAGGTGTGAATCTGGCTGCTAAAGTTATTTTAACCTCTTGGTGAAAACGTCCTATTTTATGGTACTAAGATTGTGCAACGAACTATTGATATCTCAAGGGTCATAATGATACCAGAGTGCTAGAGGAAGTTAAAATAAAAGTTATATTGAAGATATGAAGACCAAGATGGTGTAGCCTTTTGTGTGATCATAGTCTCCTTTCGTTGTATAGAAGTTTTTTA